TACACCATGATTCGTTCAGATAGTAAAACCATACCTCTTTGCCTGACGTTACTGAAATGTGGAAAAGGGAAAGTTAAAAATAAAATGAAACATTTAAATCTTTGCTGTTGAGAACCTCAGATAGATGGCAATGTAGCAAAGTTGATAAAAGAGATACTCAATTAGACTTTATTATTATTTTATTGAGGTATTATTAATAAACATCAGGGTGCAGTGGGTGATAACACTATCCTCGTATTAGATGAGTGGACACTGAGGAAAAATAAAGGCAAGTGGCCTGTAATAAGAAAAAGTAGAAGGATGTGGATAAATTGCAAATGACATGAAAAGCAGAAATATCTTGTATTTGTCCTTCAAGCCTCATCCCTCGGCCTTTAGCTGTATAGTTAGAGCTATTAACTTCTTCATAACCAGTCATGAATAAGCTGTAGTTATATGAGTCTGGGTGACATGGTAGTTCAGAAGAGAACAGATAGAATATTTTAATGTTTTGTTGTTGTTTTGGTTTGTTTGTTCACACGTACACACACACACACACACACACACACATTTCTTCCCTATAGCCTGGGAAATATTCAGTACTTTATGCATTTTAATTTACTTTTTACAGATACCTCTTTCTCCTAAAACCCCCCAAAACAATTAATTCCTAATTCCAATAAATTTCCTGAACTTAACTATAAAAGATACTCATGTACTAATTCAATAACCTGATATTAGCTGTATTCCATAATGTTATCAGCACTACACTGGTAACAATTACAGTGGCAATGCATAACTACAGTGTGTTTTAAGGGCAGTATTTTAATAAGGTAGGTGTTTAGTTCCTTGTAGCATATAGAACTGGTGATTTTGACTGCAGAGCTGCTTGGACTGGAAATCACAACAGTTGCCAGTAAGGTTTAGAAAGTGTGTGCCAGGCAAGGGAATCACTGTTCAATGTATTTACCCTCTGGGGAGGTAAAACACAGATGGGGGAGTTAGGAGTCTTCTAACATTTAGCTGATACATTACTGGGTAGCAATTCTGCTTCAGGGATGTTCAAAGTAGTTCATCTACCAGTTGGGAATCATTATGGGAGCTAGTACTGCGGATTAGATATGATAGAACAATAAGGGATTGTGGAAGTACGATCCTCCCCCTCCCACAGACGAATGTTTTGTAATCTTTTGTATCTTTTTACAGCTGTCTGTCTTAAGAAAAGAAATGGTTCTGAATTAATCATATGTTTTCAATACACATAGTACCTATATTGAGGTAGGATTCAACTGTCATAGACAAATATGACCTGGTAATATGTATTTGAACCAAAATTATGTAAAATACCATATCTTCTCTGCATAAAAAGAGTACTGTTACTGTGTGTATTCTTTCCAGTCAGTTGATGTAAGAAAAGCTTGCTAAAGCATTTGCATTTGTATTTCTATACTGGGTAAGCAAATGCAACATTAGGTCTGTGAGATTGTTTTTATGCTATGAGAGATAAGGCTATGCTTCAAAATAAAAATTTGTGATGGAGGGTGATCATGCTTTGAGGAAAAAGCATGGTCAAAAATCAGGGGAAAGCAATTCTGTTTTGTTGAGCTATGCTCAGTTATTATCACCTGATTATTTTCACCTTAGCAGTCTCACCTGGACATGCATTAAATTTTTCCTATTTTTTTCTATAGTCTTGAAGTTAAAACATTTTCCAAAATGTACAAACAAACAGCTAATTTCATTGCACTGCTGTCTGCATGCAGTGAAATAAAATATGATTAGCTAGATGAAAATGTGTAACTTTTCAATCAGTAGTTAATTCACTCCCAGAACCATATTCATATAGGTTTGAAACAAAATTGACCTTCTTGTTTATGTAATCTGTACATACAATAAGTGCCTGATTTGGTAACAAGCTACTCAACAATGTAGATTTTCTGAGACCCAGGAAAAGAAGCAAAATCTAGTACTATCCTGAATAGACCCATCACCTGTGCGCTGCTCACGTTCTGAAGTTTCTGCATTCAGAAGGGGCAGAATTAGTGCAGGAGACAAATTCCCTATGTTATGCAGAAGACAAAATCCTCATGGTTGGTTGTAGAGCAGCCGAACAGAGAGCTACAGGATCAGGGAGGCATAGATGTCTTCTGTAGGCTGCCTGGTGTCATTCCCCATGGCTGCTGTTGTCTTCTGAGTCTAGGAAGTTTTGGGCCTGCACCCCAGAAGCCACTCAAAGATTCATGTGACCATGGGCCCTCTCTGGGCTTTGTGCCCACTGATGCACAAGGAGCATGGGCACAGCAGGATCCCACTTTGCATGGTGAATGTGCACCTTTTTATTCCCTGCCATTCATGGCTGCGGCTGAGGGCAACTGAATTACGGCTTTTTCTCTGTTAGAAGACTGCAAGTGGCAGAAATGCAGTAGGATTTATCTTTCGTGCATAAGGGCCCTGCCTGAAGGCCCAGGCAGTATAGGTGCTGAATATCCACAACTCTCCTCGTTAGTTGTATGAACTAAAGTTGATCTGCATCTCACAACACTGTCTTCATTGCAAAGAACCCAAGGATATGTAGAGGCTTTTGGCTTTGCTCTGAAGTTTCTGGGGCTGTTCTGTGGTATGCTGAATACTCCTGCCTTCAAACTGGAAAGGTTTGATGGCAGAGTGAAACAACCAGAAATCCATGGGAATTAATTTACCTGTGGGCAGATTTTCATTTTACATGCATGTGTGTTTTATTTTGGTAAAATTTTGGACTTTCTGCCCTTAGTTTCAAAAAGACATTTTGTATTTAACTTAGTATCTTTCTTTTCTGAAATGTGTAGCAGGAAGACGAATTTCTCTCTCCAGAAATGTCTCCAGCTAATGAAAATACCATTGTATTCATTCAGTATTTACTGCATGTTAGTGAGTGATGTGGCATTAACAAATACACTGGATCGGACACCTGCATTTTCATTTTGTGTTCATGGGGAAAGAGGAGCAAGTGGTTTGCTCTTCCAGGATGACAGCATTGTAAATCGGGGAAATTGTGTCTTGTTGAATGTGCCCCCAGATGGAGATGGACTTGAAACAACAGTGCTGACAGAGGTGTGAATCCTCTCACCTCATCTTAATGGGGTGTTAAATTAAAAACTTAGTTATGACCACATAAACATCATTGTTAAGACAGTTGTCCACAGCACACAAACCTACCATGAGTCATTGAACACATACATTTTACAGTATATTAAAATATTTATATTGTTAATGTGTAATATAATAGAACCTACTGGATTTATTTCTAAAATTTGGAAATGCATTCTGTCTTTTAAATTACTACTTAAGTGTTTAGTTTATTGATGTGTGGTGTCATTTATAAATTCTCAGCCGTCATATATGGCTTATTTAGATTGAGCATGATTTCTTCAGAAATGCCTGTGAAGTACAGTATGATTTTATGCTATTTTAAATAAGCATTTTAGAGTATGTGTATATTTTGCAGTATACTGCTGAACTGATTCTGAACAGGATAGCTCCAGGAACTTTATATGGACTGGGAATGGTAGGTTTTGCCCCATGTACCCATGTTTCCTCAGGTGCTCCTTGGAAGCCAAGGGGCATCAGATACAACCTCATACTGGCAGGTCCAATACATTTCTTTGCAAAGCTGCTGTGCATGTGTGATTGATACGTAAATGCTTTGCATCCCAACTGTGTGAATCTCATTGCATGTGCTAGAGCTGTGTGTGCATAGTAAATCCAGCATGCTGGATTCCAGATCCGGAGTGCTTTGGATTTGCTGGACATACAAAATACCTGCTTGTTGTGGGATCTGGAAATTGGTAGGTTACTTCCTTAGGTTTGTCAGGTTTGGGTCACATAACTAAGCAACTTACCATGAACTGCTAGTGGTAAGCCTGGTCCTATTTCTCTTCCCCTGTGAGCAACAGTGGAAGATCTTGATCCTTTGGTAAGGGAAGTTTCTCATGGAAAGAAAGTTTCTCATGGCGAGCACTGGCTTCTCAAAGGAGAGTATCTTTTGTGTTCAGAACATGTTCAGAAGAGGTGTATCAAAGCAATCAGAGAAAGTCCCTCACACTGGAGCTGGTGCATCCCTCTTCTACTTTGGGCTACTAATTTTACAAAGCAGAGGAATATGGCCTGGAGGGACAGATTTTGCAGATCTCAGCGTGCCACTTGAGTTTGCCTGTCAGTTGATCAGGAACAGCTTTATCTTAAGACACTTTGTGAAATGAGTTATTAGGGGTCTTTACCTGTCCATCAGACAACACCTTTATGAGTTCAGGCATAGCAGGTATTTGCTTTAATCCTAACTGGGCCAGTATCAAACGTGTAACATCTCTTGGTACAAGATGAACCATCTTCAGGAAAAGACCACTTCTTCATAAAAACTAAGAAACCAGTGTGCCTTTGGA